ACATTGTAAAGTGTAACGCTCTGCAATGGCCTCTGTTTCACATAACCTTATTAAATGATTACACTGGGAAGAGGTAGGATGTTGATCCTTTTCTCTATGGAGAGTAACCCAGTGATCTCCTGTCATATATTTGATAGTGGCCATGCTGTAATTGGAAATATGATCTCTAAGTGTAGCAACTAAGTTGAACCCAAGACCAGATTATACCCTATGGCGTCCAATACAAACATAGATATAATTATGGCATTCCCTGGATTTTTCAATAGTAAATCTCAAACCATGTTGTTACCTTGAAGGAGTCTGCGTCCTCCAACCCAAACCTTGAAATCTAGCACACGCTAAATGGGTGGTTTAGAGTGATTAACTACTCTTGGCTGCATAAAGCTATTTGAACTGCTTTCATCTAATAGAATTGAGACATTTAGTCTAAAATATAACCAGTAAATTGAATAGTACACTTACCTAGTGTCCCTTATAAGGCATGAAGGGACAAATGGTGAAGTTCTACTGCCTTATTACTTAGTTCGCCCTCTTTAGTTGTCAGTGTCTCATCACTAGGTTCAACAGGCTCCTCCTTGACTTCACACTATAACACCATGTATTAGCGATTCAGGCATTTATGGGTTGACAAGAACTTTTCATCACAAGTGAAACATAACCTACTCCTTCTCTCGCCTTATCTGCATCTCCGTCGATGACAATCTCTTGACAGATTTAATGGCTTTATGGTTGGTTTTGGTAATAAGGGAGGTAGCACTCTCTTGGATGTTGAAGCTGGTAAGGACATTAGTAGCGAGCATGTATATAGGTTCTGTAATTTGAAGTTTCCCCCACTTGGAGCAGACTAAATCTTACTCAGACCCAATATTGCTATAGATTTTTCATCATAGAGACGCACTAGGGCTATTGCTCTAGTCAAGTTCTGAGGTTCCCTTATGATGACGTTACGTGTAATCTCTTTCTTCAACCCACTTACAAAACAATCTAGCATTGCTCCCTCAGATCGGCCATCAATTTGATTTACTAAGGCCATAAAACGGATGTAATATTCATTTACAGACCCTTTCTAGGTTAACTTAAACAGTTGGGCCTTGGCAATCATACTGTGAAGGCCTGAACTGTGTCTCAACCACCTTTGCAAGTGAAGCCCATGTGGTAACCTGGTTGGCACGCTATAAAACTTGGAAACCATAGCACCACTGAGTCGTCCATGTGTGTGGCGACAATGGTGATACACTGTTGATCTGGGGTTTCACAATAGTTAAAAAAATGATCTGCCTTAAATATCTAGTTCAATGGATCCGTCCCATCAAAACGTGGAAAATCCAACTTAACTTATTTCATCTAAAATGGTTAACATGTATTTTGGTTTCTGGTGACCGTGCCTGAGTTTGAAGACCTAATGGCGGTGTCAACATGTTTCTTTAACATTCAGTGAACCAATTTAGTGTTATTTACTATTAACTCTTGCACTGAATGTTCCAATTGATCAATCCTTCCCGATCTTTTAACCAATTCATCAATGTTCAACGATACCCCCTTGAGAGTTTGCTTTAAGTTGTCCATCTTGGCCGTATATTCAAAATCTCTATGGTCAGCAAGTTCGAATAGCTTTCTAATCTCAGCCTGTTTTGCCATTAAGTCTCTTATAAGAACCTTAAATGTTACGGTCACCTACACTTCAAGATTAATATCTGATAATAATAAAAGAGTTTCACAAGTAATTCCTCAATAATAGTATTATTCAATGATTCAACTAAGGTTTAGCGATCCTACACAACAAGGGAAAATGGTAGAAGGCGATTACAAGGCATTACAGAGGTAAATATTGCAAAACAATAAGTGAAACCCAGAGAGAAAAGACTTAAGAGGAGAAAAGAAACATATAAGGGGAGGTTCAAAACAAATTCATCCACACCTACACAAAGAAACCCAAACCTCATTTATCCTCATTCACACGCAGCCTCTAGCTCTTGGTACGCACTTGATTACCACGCCTCATGGCCTGAATCCTTTCATCCTCTTTGCGCACTACCTACCAATCATTGTGGGATCATCTGTATAGTTGGTATTTGTCCCAAATGCCCTTGTTTGCATGTTGTCATCAAACTGCAAAATAACTCCCTTTCCTTTGGCCATGACAATGATCCGTGCATATTACGAGTAATTTACTGGTTAATATTTGAAGACTGAAATATCATTAACCTAATAGACAAACTTGTGAAAGATGAGGTGTAATTGATTGAAATATGGACAAGGAAGTGATACATGTCATTTTCACACCTCACAACCTCACTTACTTTTTGACCACACATCTCGCAACCTCACAAGCCTCACATCACAGTGCACATTGACTTCCCCATCTAAGTCCATTATTAGTCTTTTTTTTTTTTAATTTCCCATTATTAGTCATTTACACTCCAAAAGAGGCATGTGATGCATACCCCTCTTCTCTTTTTCCCTCCTCGGTCTCCATTCATCGAACCTCTCACCCGCTTATCCCCTCTCCATCTTCCATCCACACATTCTCTCTCTTTCTCTCTCCCTTCATCCACGTCAGCTTCTCCTTCACGTGAATCCCACGTGAATCTCTCCCTCCCTTACTCACAGCCCATATAAAGATTCTCCCTAATCTCTACATTCATGCTTTACGGATACAATACCGTTTCGCAATTTTATATATTATCTCCTCAATGAATTGAAATTGGATGTCTAATATCTTATTATATCTCCGTGTGTTGTAATTCCGAAGCGAGGCAGGCAGCCCCACCGGACCTTCACGTGAAGCCGGTCCCACATATTGCCACGTGGGAATAAGGGTGACGTGTCCTCCCCTCCGAAGGTGAAAGGAAATAAAGAAAGGCAAAAAAATCTGAAAATATCTGGGGATCCCCCGGTGTGGACGCTAAGTTGTTTGTGTCCACAAGTAACAGTACACGTGGCGAGGATTCATCAGGCGTGGCAATAGTGATCGAGCCAAAATCGTGGTTTAGAATTAGCCGCCTCATTAGAATCCGCGTCCAAAATCTCCCCTTAAATCAACTCTGACCACGTCTGTTTTTTTTTTTTTGGCCTTGATTTTACATTTATCTCCCCGCTCCAACTTGCCAATTGTTTTCATACCAAACGATTCAACTTGCATGTTGATGTTGGCACACAGGAAAAAAAAAAAATCTGCTTGACTGGAGAATTAATTTATCAATTCTTTATCTTTTTAATTTTAAATGAAATTAAACTTCTAGTAATATAAATAATACAAGGAAAGAACAAGTGGACAATGAAAGTGAAGGGATCTTTACTCAAAATTGTAAAGTTTAAGTTTATGAATGTTGCTGGTAAAAAAATTTATATATCACTTGAGAATTAATTTATCAATTCTTTATATTTTTAATTTTAAATGAAATTAAACTTCTAGTAATATAAATAATACAAGGAAAGAACAAGTGGACAACGAAAGTGAAGGGATCTTTACTCAAAATTGTAGTTTAAGTTTATGAATGTTGCTGGTAAAACAAAAAAAAGTTTATGAATGTCATTTCATTTTATTATATATCACTTGTCACTTGTTAAGTCAGGCCTTCTCATGTGTTAATTCAAATTTAATCTTATCCACCCAACCTAGCAACAGCAAAACACAAATGGATAATTGTTTCTTTCTCTTTCAACAGACAATAATCTTCGTTTAGTTTCAACAATTTGCATATTTTGTATCCTTATATATATATATATATATATATATATATGTATATGTATATAAATGAATATATATTTGTTATTAATAGAAGTTAAGTCTAGTGAAAAGCGCTATCCGTTGCACTATGATAAACCAATATCTAATTCCTGCTGAGAAAACTCTTTACATTTAATATCCAGCTGTATTTCAAATAAAATTATTTTTAATAAAAAAATAATTGGAAATAAAAAAATAAATATATATTTGTTGAAAGAAAAATCAAGAAATAAAAGTAACAAAAGGTGGGATTAAATTAAATGTCAAAAACGTACTGTGTGTTGTAGATATTTCTGATTATTTGAAGTTTATTTTATGTGAGGAACTGTATACTGATCTTATTCGGATGCAATTAATAATATGATGACATTTGGATATTTACAAAAAAAAAAACCTACTGTGTGTTGTAATATGATCGTTTGGTAGCAATAGGATGTTACATGACTATCACTCTCTCCTCAAAAAGTTAACTCATTAGGATGTACAGTGCACTCGCTTATAGAGCGAGACTCTCTCTAAGTGCCTTCGATGTGAGATTGAACAGCTTTCCTAATCAATCCGTGATGCTCTTATTAAAGGTGGGGCACCAACTAGGTTCTATTGATTGAACAAATTTGATTTAGTTTTGATACTATTTTGCTATTGGATCATTTTTCTTTCTCCTCAAAAAATTAACTTATTAAGATATATAATGCCCGTTTATATAATCAATACTTTTTTTAAATCTTTTCGAATGTGGGATTTGATAAAGAACCCTTTAAACTCCTAAACTTAGCTTTGCCGGTAAAGATAAACTATGGTTTTCTTTTTAATTGTCTGTCAAGAGAGTTGTTCGAGTAATGATTATATATTTAAAAGAAATGTATTAGGGGTGTTTTAGCAGGCACCTGCCTAATAACGACTTTTTAATATCATCCTGATGCTGATTTTTTTCCTTCTGAAATTAATAATTTAAACCAGTTGGGTGTTGATAAGATTTAAACTCACTTTTTTAGATATAACTAAAAACTAAGGGTTAGATCCTTATCATATGAATTATGAACTAATGCCATCTAACATGCTGTTTCTGTTTATGAGACATTGAAGCTGAAGTCATCCTTTAAAAAAAAAAAAATTGCCTTGCGATTTTGTAATTTGTAATTGTAATAGGAATCCAACGACGCGTCATCGATTGAAATGACAAGAATGCCCATAAGTTTGTACAGGAGAAGAGAGTGAACGAATGGCAGAGAAGCAATGTAATTATGCGACGAATACGAGGGTCAAAGTTAGGATTCGGTGTATTTATCACAAGGTAGGGTGGAAGAGGAAGCAAAAGAAGGAGAAGCAATGGAGGATTGTGCGTTGTGCGGGAAGACGGCGAGGATGTACTGTGAGTCGGACCAGGCAAAGCTTTGCTGGGACTGCGACAACAAGGTGCACGGCGCCAACTTCCTGGTGGCGAAGCACACCAGGATCCTCCTATGCCGTACCTGCCAGTCTTTCACTCCATGGAAAGCCTGTGGTCCCAAGCTCACGCCGACTCGCTCCCTCTGCCACCACTGCGCCACCGATTCCCACAGGGATCAACAAGATGATGCTGATCATCATGATGTCCGTGATAATCCTGATCACGATGAGGAGGAAGATGTCGGAGATTCTAGTTCCGATGCTGACTCTGGTTATGAAGATGACGACGAAGACACCGGAGAAGAGGAGGAGGAGGAGGAGGAGGAAGGAGAGAACCAGGTGGTTCCATGGTGTTGCGCCTCCACTTCGGTGTCATCGCCGCCTCTTGCGAGTTCTGCTTCAGCTGGTTCTGGTTTAGCTTCGAATCGGCGGCGAGGGAGTTCGTTTGTCCATTCTGATGTAGGTTTTCACCTCTTCAAGGAATCGATCCATATAGTTACTGTTAATGAAATAGATTTGCAGAACCTATTTCAATTTTCTGTCGTTCTTTTACGCTAAACTCCCGATGCCCAAACAGGAACGATTGCTAATTTCTGTTTCTTTTGATGCTAATGCAGGATGAGATCGGTTGTTCTTCATCTGAAATGCCCTCTGCTACGCAACTACAAGACGATGATTCATCGTCTTGGAGCATCCTCAGGCCATGGAAGCAGCCGAGAACTACTCAGCATAGCCAATAATGAATAACCCTTGGTTTGAAGATGATGCGCGATGAGGACAAACCTGGACCGTTGATTTAGAGTCTAGATCTTACTAACTCCAATGTTTTATTATTATTTTTTTTTTACCCTATAGTTTCAACACTGGAAAGATCTTTATTCCCATTGATTCTTTTAACAATGGATTAGCGATTCACCATTTATGGAATTCTACCTTGTTCTGGCATCTCATGAAACTGGCCTCAGTATATGGAATTGTATCATGCCTGTGACTGCAAATTTTCTTGATTGCTTGAATACATGTGACTACAATTTGACTTGCAATCATTGCGATTACGATTTACGACCTCACCACGCGGATTCCATGGATGAATTGTTCATATACTGGGGAGGATAAAAGAGGAATTTGCGCGGTCTTGTGAGATTGTTTTGGGGTCGGGGGGGTTGGGGTGGGGGACCAAAATCTTAGTTTCAAATTGATTCCATAGATTTTGCCTAATTAAAGTGTGTGTATTAACAAGTGGCAATAGAAGTTACTGTGAAATTGTTTTGATCAATCATGGCCCTGTTTTGTTGACTCTTTTCCTTTAGCATTTTTCATTCTTATCTCAGACTTATCTGTTGGAGGATGGGTGTGGTGGGACAGAGTAGGAGGTGGGATTAGGAGAGTCGTTGAAGCATGTTGAATATTTGTCTTGTAGCTCAATTCAGTGTAGACATATATTCATTGGACATTGGTGTCAAAATAGCAAGCCGGCATTTGGCAAGTTGTTCAAACATAAAACATATAAAAGAAGTTGGGGTTCTTGATGCATCAACTTTAATCTTTGATGTTTTGATTAAAAAAACAAACTTGACAATAAATATTTAACTCAATTTTATCGAATAGGGGTATGTCGGACCGATATGGAATTTTCTAAGAAAGAAAATTAAATAAAAATATTTGGAAGTTGTCATTAAATAAAAATAAATGGTATGCACATAAAAAAAATGGTACAAAAGTTGACTGTGTGCAAAAAAAGTGTTAAAATTAATTATATAAATTTAATATGGTTTTTAAAAGATATTAATTATCTTTAATAAAAAAAGATAAAAAGGTAAAAAAAATAAAAAAAATTATTTGAATTTGACCTAAAACAAAACTCTAGAGCCTATCCATTTTTTTTAGGGGCCAAAGCTTACATAATTCAAGAATAAAAATGTATATCTCTTGGTTGAGATTTTTTTTAAAAAATATTTATTACTAGTTTTTAAAAATAATTTTAATATTTTTTGTGTCTTTTATTTATGAAAATAATTTTATTCCTTTATTTGTAGCAAAATTTTGAGAAATGTTTTCGTGAAAAATATTTTAATAGGATTTATGCGAATCTCATATATTCTAAAACCCATCTTTCAAAAATATTTTATTTTATTTTATTTTATTTATTTTTAGAACAACCTTTTATTTTTAGAAAATATTTTGATATATACACATGTGATAATTTATCATCGTGTTGAATAAGCTAACTGACTTCATAACATGCAAGAACTTTAAAAGTGTCATGTAGCAAATGACTCTTAAACTTTGTACATACGAGAACTTGTTGTCATGTAGGATGAGTCAATTGAATTATATGCCTATTATGACTCAAAAAGTCTCACATAATTAATAGTTTCAAAATAATGTTGCATGGGATAATTTATCACTACATGGGATAGTAAATTAATTAACTTACAAGTTTGCGTGGACTATGAAAGCCTCACGTAATCCAAATATAAAACATTTTTATTGCTTTAGACTACCAGGGGAAGAAGACGCCAAAAATATCGAAGACAATAAGAACACTGATGGTAGTAGATAAAAACAACTCATAAGGAAGTTGATGTATTTGACAGTGACTACACCAGACATTGTATATGCTATCAACACAATGAGTCAATTTTCTTCGACACCTAAACAAATGCATACATGTGATAATTTATGTCACATACGACAAATTAATTAACTTAAAAACTTACAAGGACTCTAAAAGTCTTACGTAATTAAACTAATAAAAACTCTTTTTTTTATGTATCATAATAATTTATTGTGATACCTAACAATTTAATTAACTAGTAAATTTGTGAGGCTGAGAGTCTCTCTTGGTGAATAGTTTAGGTAAAAGTATGATAAATATAAGGAAGAATGAATGACCACTTACCTGAGATTTAAGTCTTAGAATTTCAAAAATCAAATCTTAGCTTTGAAGACAAGATCAATTACAAAGGTAGTTGTAAAACTCATTTACTTAATCACAATTAACTATAAAATTTAAGGTAATCATTTCATTAACTCAATTAGATTATTAAGTTTGTAATTTGTAAAAATGGGATCCCAATTTTTCATAGTTTAAAGTTAATCAAAAATCATTTAATAAATTTCTAATCAAAGTAAAATGTTGCTTTGAAAGCATGAGATACCTTATAAGAGTGAAGAAACTTAAAATCAATTGAAAAACATTAATATATGAAAAATAAAGCAATGAGTTACAGCATATGCACATAAGCCATGACTGTCTCTCTCTGTGCCACGCGCCCAACGTGTTGCATGCATTAGATAGTATTTTTATTGTCATTTAATAGCAACTCAAGGTAACTTTTAACACACCTCCCTTTTCTATTGGACGTCTAAATGAGGTGATTTAGATGTCTAAAAACTCTTTTTATAAACTAGTTAATAGCACGAGTTTTACTTCTAAATTAAGTCATACAAGAAAGATGAACACCTAAACATATTTTTGCAACTTTTTACAACTTAAGGGTGTTCAAAACCCTACACATGGGCTTAAAGTAATTCCTAACATTTAAAACACACTCAAAGAATTTAAGACTATCTATACAATATACCACATGCACATATACTCAACAATATCACATTTTCACTCTTCAACTCCTTTACCACAAAAAAAAATGGGGATGTTTTGACATTGCATAAATCATTAAATTTTAAATTCAACAACATAACAATATTTTCTATACTTGCACTAATATTTTGGCCCTAATACAAGACTTAATTAACTCACAAGGCATATTTTAGGGCCCAAAATACATCCCTTTTACAAAACATTAACGTAATGCAAATGTATATAAAAATGTACTCTAATTGGTAATATTCTAACTATTACACACAAAAAACAAATACATGAGGATAAGAGACTTTACAATAGGAACCCAAGATTCCTATGACTTTAGAACCTTTTTTCTTTTTGCACCAGAGTTAGAGCCTATAAAATATTAAGAGAAGAGAGTGATTACAATCATTCAGTAACTAAGGTATATCTACCCTATTTAATTACATATCAATTGATTAAAAACACATGAGCGGGAGTTGAATCCTTAAACATTTGAGATTACATACAATACAAGTTGTAATTTTACAATTTAACTTTTTCATTTTTCACATGTTTATATCACGAGACATATTACCACAATACAAACAACCATGTGATAATGGTCCAATCAATAATAGTGGTGCACATTGCCATAATACAGACAACCATGTGATAATGACACACTCAACTATCATAAATTGCCACAAACTTAACAATCATGTGACATATCAGATACATGTATGCATGATTGCTTCCTCCTTGTAACCTCTAACTGAAACCATGAGCTATAAATTATAATATTAATTAGGACTCCGTCCTTACAACTAGACTACTTAAGTTTACCAATTATAAGGTGTGACCTGGTTAAAAATCATAGCACTCACTCTTAGACCACGGCTTCCCCCACTCTCAAATCTTTTGGGTGTCGTATATTCTAAGCTAATCTCCTTAATAAACAAGTGGGGATAGACAGGTTCTGGTCCTCCAATAAACTATAAAATAGTCCTTTGACAAGCAATGGGACAAGGCTAACTTTCATGCACCAAAAGGTCACTGTAAATACCATATGGATTTTCTACTCCTCTTTTTTGGCAAACTTCCTCCAAATGATCATGCAATATTTCATGCTTACTTATTTCACAATTATATTTATTCAACACCAACACATTGGGTTTATGATATTATGCTACCTAAGTGAACATCAATATTAATTTAAGAAACATTCTCCATTTCAATTCTCAATTTCACAACACGCTTCAAATTTTCATTTAGCCACACAAGACATATTCACATGTCAATGCAACCACACTATCATCACATCATATATCATACAGTTCATATTCTAACACATATTTATAGTTTAACAATCATTTTGAATTCCACTCTATATTTTAAGGCAAAATAAGGTTATTACATTATCATTTGGTTTATGGTATGCTTCCACATTCACAAATTCAATTATCCATGCAAAAAACTCATTTTCACATTATAACATAATTAATAAGCAACTATCCAAGATAGATTTTTCTCGATTACCTAAAACCTTTAAGAGATCAAAGGTTTAACCTTCAATATATGCTCCTAAGCTTGCTTTCTAAGCCAAATATAGTTCTTAAAAGATTAATCTATAATTAATTAAATTCAAACTATATTAACATTATTAAAAACACATTTCCAACTCTTCCTTTTCATTTCTAAAATATCCAATGCCTTTATATTTCACATTTAGGCTTATTTATTGGGTATATTGACTTAGCTCTCATTATCTTCATTAATTGTTTTTAGGGTCATTAGTGTCTCTCAACAACCTCATAATCCACATTTATCACCCTTTTTTCGAACATTAATGACTCCTAACTATCATTAATGACTAAACTCATAATCTCTAGGTTTAAATACTCAAAACAAATACCATTAACTTCATTTAGGTTAATAAGTTCAGACCCATAACCTATATGGATCGAAAATCACATTTATCACAAACCCTAACTCTCAAAACTTAAGAAAATGGGTTGGGAAGGAAGAAGAATAAGTTATAATGCTTACCACTAGGGTTTAGTAGCTTCAAAATACTTCAATATCCCTTTAGAAGTAAACCCTAGTAAAGTGCCATACTTCTTTTCGTGCCCCCTTTCCTTTCTCTTCTAATTTTTCCTCTATCTTGCAACTCATTTATGCAAAAAAAAAAATGTACCGTGTATAGCGACATTTTCACTACACGCCATGGCATATGGTATAAAAAAGCCTCTCTCACTTTCTGGTAGCTCATGCATTGCGACATGTGACATATAACCTCTCCTAATATCCACTTAACATTAAGAGGAGTTAACCTAACCACCACATCTCTATACCAAATTGAACTTGAAGAATTTGT